AAATGACGTTTGAGACAGCCAGGTGTAGGCGCAGCTTCCTAACTATACACAGCAGCAACTTCAGCACCTTCAAGGCAAAGCAGCAGCAGCAGCAGCAGCAGCAGCAGCAGCAGCAGCAGCAGCAGCAGCAGAAGCAAGAGCAGCAGGAAGAGCAGCAGGAAGAGCAGCAGCAAGAGCAGCAGGAAGAGCAGCAGGATGACCAGCAGCAGGAACAAGAGGACGACGAAGCCCTTCTGCTGCAGCCAGCTCTCTGCCCCTTCGCGGACCCCGCTGTGCGTGCTGCTGTGGCAGCTGTACGTACACCTGAATTGGCGCCGCTGCTGCGTCAGAAGCTGCAGCAGCGGCGTGCTGCAGTAAACATGACTTCGTGGGTGGCTGTCGGCTGCTGCGTCGCTCCGCTACAGCAGCAGCAGCAGCAGCAGCAGCAGCAGCAGCGACAGCGGGGGAGACACAGGCAGCAGAGTATCCTGCGTAGGCAGCTTTGGCTGCAGCAGCAAGGGATAGCAAGCGACGGCAGCAGCACGTGGTGTACGTACACCCCAGTTGCAGCAATACGAGTGGAGAGGGTTGCAGTATGCCTCGATGACTACAGAAGAGCAGCAGCAGCAGCAACAGCAGCAGCAATCCTGCTGCTGCCGCCGCCGCGAACCACCCATCATACCCTACAGCTGCGCATGCAGTCGTTGCAGGTGCTGCTGTTTGGAGACGACATGCAGCAGCGACAGCAGCAGCAGCAGCAGCAGCAGCAACGGCTTCTGCTGCAGGACAGACACGTGGTGCGGCAGCATCTAATGCGGCTGCGCAAGACCCATCCAGAGCTCTTCGGGTGTACGGCCAGTTCTGCTGCTGCTGCTGCTGCTGCCGCTGCAGCAGAGCAGCCTGTGCTGCTGCTCTCCTCAGACCAGGTGGACCTACACTTCGCTTCCTTCATTCTGACTGCAACAAAGTCTTTGCAGTGCCCCTCGAGCAGCAGCAACAGCAGCAGCAGCAGCAGCAGCAGCAGCAGCACTGGGGACGGGGAGGCTGAACATGTGCGCCGGCTGATGCTCCAGCCACAGAACGTTACAATACGCTTTGCACAAAGCGCAGCAGCAGCAGCAGCAGCAGCAACTGCAGCAGCAGCATGGGCCCACAAAGTGTTCGGCCCGGATGAGGCGGTGGCTTTTGCTGCTGCTGCTGCTGCTATATACAAAGAGCACACCGCATGCAGCCGCTATAGAGAAACCTGCAGCAGCAGCAGCAGCCCACGCAGCAGCACCAGTCCGACAAGCAGCAGCAGGATGCAGCAGCAGCAGAAGCAACCACGCAAGCTGCAGCTGCAACTCGAAGTCAGTTTGTTAAAAGACCTGCAGCTGGAGTTCGCCCTGGAGGGCCTCTTGCTGCTGCGGCTGCTGCTGCCCGCGCTGCACTTGGGCACGGCTGTCAGGTATCAAGCAGCAGCAGCAGCAGCAGCAGCAGCAGCAGCAACTGCAACGGAAGCAGAAGGTGCGGATGCGCAGACACCTGGCGGATCACCTCTCCTGAGCAACGATTCATCAAAGGAAGCAGCAGCAGCAGCAGCAGCAGGAGCAGCAACACCTGCTGCGAGCAGCAGCTGCCTCCTCCCGCAGCTGCTGTCGGCGGACTGCTTGCTGCAACTGAGGCGCGGGCTTTGCTGCCTGGTATACGGGCTGACACCAGCAGGTACACCGTCTGCTGCAGCAGCAGCAGCAGCTGCTGCTGCTGCTGATGCTGCTTCTCAGCCGCTGCTGCAGTTGGCTCAAGTCTTTGCGAGAGTAAACGTCTTTTTCCAGCAGCAGCAGCAGCAGCAGCAGGAGCAGCAGCAGCACCACCAAGCAGAGGAGGAGGAGCAGCAGCAACTGAAGGTGGATGCGCAGATGTTTGTCAGGGGCATCGACGATGATGGGCAGCAGCAGCAGCAGCAGCAGCAGTATGAGCAGCGAGCGAGGGACCAGAAGCGTAGCCCCACACATAGTTGGGGGAGACAACACGCGCAGCAGCAGCAGCAGCAGCAGCAGCAGCTCTCACTCAACCTAACCCCGCAACACATTATCCTGCTGCTGCAGCTGCTGTTTGGCAGCAGCAGCGGCGGGCCTTGGCCTGGCAACCTTACTCCTGCTGCAGCAGAGCAGCAGCAGCATCAGGATGAAGAGCAGCAGCAGCAGCACGGAGACGAAGAGGAGCAGCAGCAGCAGCAGCAGCAGCAGAGCAGCCGGTTCGTTGCAGTGTACAGACAGCTCCGGCAGCAAGCCGACATCCTCTTCAAGCTGAGAGCAGCAGCACGAGACCTTCACCTCAGAGTTAACTTCGCCCGCTGCAGTCTTGCTGCTGCTGAGCTGCACGATCTGCTGCTGCTGCGGCGACAGCCCGCTGTGGCGCCTGCGAGCAGCAGCAGCCCGAGGGGGCGCAGCTACGGCAGCGGCAGCAGTAGGTACCGCAGCGCAGCAGCACGAGCAGCAGCAGCAGCAGCTGCTGCTGCTGCTGCTGCTGATGCAGCCGTTGGTGCATCACCAGCAGCAGCCGTCGCCACAGGCTATCAGCAGCAAGGCAGTGGGGCTTCAGAAGAGCTGTGGGCGCAACAGAAGCAGCAGCAGCAACAGCAGCAGCAGCAGCAGCAGCAGCAGCAGCAGCATCACAAGAGCGGAGGCCCAGTAGAGCTGCTGCGCAAAGGCTTCGCCAGCCTCCGTAACAAGCCCTCAACAGAATGGGGGGGACTGACAGACAGCAGCAGCAGCGGGAGCGAGTATTTTGCTGCAGCAGGCAGCAGCAGCACGAAGACACGCTCGCACGGGCATCATCATCAGCAGCAGCGGAGGCTGCTGCTGCAGGGGGATCTATGGAAAAGTGTTTCGTGGGACTACCGACCGGGCGGGCAGCAGCGGCAGCAGCAGAAGCAGCAGCAGCAGCAGCAGCAGCAGCAGCAGCGAAAGCAGCACCGGCTCGGGCGCGAGGTGTCAATGCAGCTGCAGCAGCAGGGGTTGTGGTTTGAGGGGCTGCATACGTGGTCTGGTGAGGGCAGAGGGGGAGGCTTGCTGCAGGAGGAGTGGGGCAGCAGCAGCAACCTCAGCAGCAGCAACAGCAGCAGCAACTTGAGCAGCAGCGATGCATTCTGCTGCTCCTCAGACTCGGCCCCCTCCGCAGCAGAGGCAACGAAGCCAGAAGTACCCGCTAAGGAGGAAAAAGCTGCAGCAGCAGCAACAGCAGCAGCAGCAGCAGCAGCAAAAGCAGCAGCAGCAGCAACTCCTGTCTGCACTTCTGCTGATGTCCTAGAAGACATAAAGCTGAACCAGATGAGACAGAGTGTTGTGCTGCTGCGGCATTTGCTGCTGTGCTTCGAGTGCGACGACTTGCCCCTGAGCTGCAGCAGCAGCAGCAGCAGCAGCAGCCGCAGGCAGCGGGCCTATGCTGGCTGGTATCTGCACGCACAGCAGCGCCAAGCAGAGCAGCAGCAGCAGCAGCAGCAGCAGCAGCAATTCGGTGCTGCTGTTTGCCGCCTGTGGGGCATACAACTCCCCCCCTGTCTCCCGCTGCCCTCTCCGCACTTGCTGCCGCTGCTGCGCATTCCTGGTGTTCGTGTAGAGCGACAGAAACTCCCGCAGCAGCAGCAGCAGCAGCAGCAGCAGCAGCAGCAGAAGGACCCTTCCCAAGCTGCGTGCATGCTGCTGCACTGTCCCTTCGTGCTGCTCTCCCCCACAACTCTCGCCCTCGTCTTCAGGTGTATAGACAGCGCAGATGCAGCACGGCAGCAACTGGAGCCGTACTTGCAGCAGCTGCTGCCATCGAAGAATCCGCAGCAGAACCCGCAGCAGCCACAGCAGCAGCAGCAGCAGCAGCAGCAGCAGCAGCAGCAGAACACACGCCGCCGCAAGCGGCATCTGCAGCAGCAGCAGCGACAGATGTCTTATGGTGCAATTGACTTAACACTGAGGTGTATATACCCCCAGGTAAGCCTACACTATATTGAGCTGCAGCGGGGGCAGCAGCAGCAGCTGCTGCAGGAGATAGCTGCGCCCCCGATCAACCACAGCCGCAGCAGCAACATAAGCAACCGCGCAGCAGCAGCAGCACCAGCACCTGCTGCTGCTGCTGCAGCAGGAGATATTCTTTATGCGGAGACAGCAGACAGCTGCAGCGCAGCAGGGAGATGCTGCCAGATTTCAGCAGCAATGGCTGTGAACCCGCTGCCGCTGCTGCAGCAGCACTCGCGGCTGGTGGAGGTTATGTGGGCAGACAACAACAAGATAGCAGCAGCAGCAGCACCAGCACCAGCAGCAGCAGCAGCAACAGCAGCAGCAGCAGCAGCAGCAGAGGGAGATGCTAGTGCAGCCGAGGGCTCAGAGATGCCCCACAGCTGCCGGGGGCAGCAGCCCTGTGCTGCTGCTGCTGCAGCACGACATGCTGCGTGGACAGCAGCAGCAGAAGCAGCAGCCCAAAGACCCCGCAGCAACCACCAAAAACTCAGCAGCAGCAGAAGCAGCAGCAGAAGCAACAGCAGCAAACCTCACGGGGGATCATCGGACTCATGCGGGGCCTCCTCTGCAGCAAGACATACACCGCAGCTGCGTGGTGTCTGCGGCTGCTGCTGCCGCGCTGCTGCAGAAGCAGGCTCAGGGGGGGCTGGGACAGCAGCAACAGCAGCAGCAGCAGCAGCAGCAGATCCGGCTGTGTTGCCATCGCTGCTGCTGCTGCCGCTGCCTGACCCTGACCCTGCTCTGTGTGCCCCTATAGAGCTCATCCAGCACACGTACAGCAGCAGCAGCAGCAGCGACTTGCGCTATGCTCTTTCAGGTGTACAGACAGCTCAGTTTGTGTTTTCTACTCCCCTGGCTGTTGCTAAGGCCAGGCTGGAGGTTGCTGCTGAGGCCGTAGCTGCTGCTCCTGCAGCGGGACGGAGGAAGCAGCAGCAGCAGCAGCAAGTGCAGCAGCAGCAGCAAGTGCAGCAGCAGCAGCAGCAGCAAGTGCAGCAACAGCTGCTGCAGCAGCACTTGCTGCTGGTTGATCTGGTTTGTCGTGTGGGGCCCGTGTGCGGCTCTGTCGGCGCTCTTCACGTGGCTGGGCTGCTGTGGCACTTGCCGCTGGCTGCTGCTGCTGCACCTCCGTCTGCTGCTGCTGCTGCTGCAGCACGGCAGCGCAACAAAGGCGACACGCACAGCAGCAGCAGCAGCAGCAGCAGCAGCAGCAGCAAAAGCCCTGCACGCTACTTCCTCCCCGACCAGCTCGCGGCCGTCTGTCTCACCAGCAGCGACAGCGAACACCCAGCGACCCCTCTTGCTGCTGCTGCTGCAGCAGCACCAGCCACAGCCCCCCCATCACCTGTTGCAGCAACAGGAGGTCGTGCGTTGCCAGGGCCCAGCAGCAGCAGCAGCAGCAGCAGCAAGTGCAGCAGCAGCAGGATGGGCAACGATTGTGGCACGCATCAGCAGCAGCAGGAGGCGCAAGCGAAAGGTGTATGGGGGGATCCAAGCAACAGCAGCAGCAGCAGCAGCAGCAGCAGCAGTTCAAGTTCTGCTGCAGTGTCTCAGCTGCTGCGCCCCGTTCTATGTATAAAAGATGTGTGCTGTATACTTGCTCTGTCTCTCCCGCAGCTCGGCTGCAGCTGCAAGCTGCTCTGCGGCAACTGTCTCTTTGCTGCTCACGCGGAGAGCTTCGCCATGCTGCAGCAGCTCGTACACCGCATGCTGCTGGCCTGCAACACCAGCAGGACAAGACCTGCAGCAGCTGCAGCAGCAGCAGCAGCTGCTGCTGCTGCTGCTGCTGCCGTTGCTGCTCAAACAGGAACGGTCTATCCAGCTCCACCCGCTACTGCTGCTGCTGCTGCTGCTGCAGACAAACAGCAGCAGCAGACAGCAGATGATTTGTCAGATGGAAGCAGCAAGCTGGATGCAAACGAGAACACAGCAGCAGCAGCAGCAGCAGCAGCAAAAGGAGCAAGAGCAGCAGGCCAAGCAGCAGGTGGTGCTGCTCCGCCAGGAGCACCAGAGAACGCCAATCCGTCAGGGGTCCCTCAGCAGCAGCAGCAGCAGCAGCAGCAGCAGCAAAGGCGTCTGCGCCCCTCTGCTGCTCGCAAGCTGTTGCATGCGTTCTTAGAAGAGGAAGCAGCAGACCTCGGCCACGCGCAGCTGCCTGTGGGGGGGGGAGGGTCTGCGGTGCCGCGGCTGCAGCAGCTGCAGCAGCTGCAGCAGCCAGCAGCAACTGCAGCTGCTGCTGCACACTCTGAGCAGCAGCAGCAGCAACAAACCCAGACTAAACAAAGACGCCGACAGATATCCATAGGGATCCTCATTGAAGAGGTAAACGCACAATAAACCTTAAACCCTAAACCCTAAACCCTAACAAACCCTAACAAACCCTAACAAACCCTAAACCCTAACAAACCCTAAACCCTAAACCCTAGACCCTAACAAACCGTAAACCCTCTTAGTGCCAGTCTGAAGGAGATGATAGCGCCATGACAACCTCTGCTGTTTGTGCTGCTGCATGGATTGCTGCTGCTGCATGCGTTGCTGCTGCTGTTTGTGCTGCTGCTGCTTTGCTGCTTGCAGATATGCTGCTCGCTGTTGAGCAGCACCACGAACCTCCCCTTCTGCTGCGTCTGCTGCAGCGACGCTGCATGCAGCCTGCAGCTGCTGCTGCAGGACGAGAGGCATCTGCAGCTGGAGGTGGACTTGGCGGACTGGAGGGTCTTAGACCTCTGCCCGAAGCCAGCAGCAGCAGCAGCTGCTGCTGCTACTGCTGCTGCTGCTGCTGCTGCTCCTGGCACCAACAGCGAGATGCAGCAGAAACCCCAGCAGCAGCAGCGACGCCTCGCCCCCTGGTCAAGCAAACTGCACCGCAAAGTTGCTGCAGCTGACGCAGGAGCAGCAACATCCGCTGCTGCTGCTGCTGCTGCTGCTGCTGCTGCTGAAGGTGCAGCTGAGCCTGCTACTGATACTGCTTCTGTACGCGCACCTGAACCTGCTGCTGATGCTGCTGCAGGCCCTGGGGGGCAGCCAACTCGTACTGCTTCTTGCTCTGAAGAGGCCCTAGCGACAGCAGCAGAAGCAGCAGCAGCGAGAGCAGCAGCAGCAGCAGGAGACCTGCATGCAGCAGCAGCAGCAGCAGCAGCAGGACGTCCGTCCCCCGCACCAAAAGCTCCCGGTAGAGTCCGCGCGAAGCTGCAGCAGCTGCTGCCAGCAATGAAGCAGCGTGCTGCTGCTGCTGCTGCTGCTCCAGCTGCGCAGCTGCATCGCCTTGTCTCTCACGCAACAGCAGCAGCAGCAGCACACAGAGCTGCTGGCTTAGGCAGCCGCATGCAGTCTGCAGCATCTGCTGATTTCCTTGAGGGACGTGCAGCAGCAGAAGTAGAAGCAGCAGACGCACGTGCAGCAGCAGCAGCTACAGCAGCTGCTAGTGCTGCTGATGCTGCTGCTGCTGCTGCTGCTGCTGCTGATGCTGGCCCCTCAAAGTGGTCCCTCTTCGAGCACCGCAGGGACAGCAAGTTTCTCAGCAGCAGCAGCAGCA